CATTTTGGGCCTCCTTATCTGAAAAAATGATTAGAGAGTGGAGGAAACAGGAGGATCAGCTGCAAAAAGCTGATAAAAGTAAGCACACTTTCTGTGGACATGCTGCATGCTGCAAAGTAAAGAACTGAATGATGGAGAGAGAAAAGACTTTTGCTGTAAGGAAGGAAGGGAGGAAGGGAGGGAGTGGAAGTGAGGCATGCTTTGCTGTTTGCTTACACGTGTGCTGGTGGTGATTTCTTCATCATAGCTCTTATTGACTACCCAGCAACAATCTGTTTATTCATCTCTTTCAGTGCAATAACAATTCATTATAAGTGTTAAAACTTGAGATGGTACTGTAATTCCCACTCATTATGTGTCATCCTGCTGTAGAAGTCTGCTTCATGATTCTCCACTTCTGGTACATGTATGACTTGTGAAATGACATGCTTGAGAATACACCAGTCCCAAAACTGTACTGTTAGTAGCAAGAAAGACATGGATTTTGTTCCTCCTTGGTGGTTGATATAAAGCATTGTAGTGTTGTTGTCTGTGGCTATTGGAATAACTTTGCCAACTACAAATTGTTCAAAAGCTCTCACTGTGTTGTACACTGCAAGAAGTTTGAGGTAATTGATGTGACAACATCTATCTATTGCTACTGCCTTATGAATTTGCCAGAATATTTTTTTTCCGGTTTTCCTCTCCTAAAAATGGGGTGCGTCTTATTTGGAGGTGCGTCTTATGGAGCGAAAAATACGGTAACTGGGGCATATTTTGGAGGTAGGGCTTATATTATGAGCATCCTGAAAAATCATACCAGGGCTTATTTTTGAGGAAACAGGATAGTAAAGAACATTTTAATAGATAAATCTGTACCTAGTGAAAGTCTGCAGTAGACATCCTGTGTAGAACTCCGATTTTCAGTAGAAGACTGTTAACCAGGTTTTGTTGAACTCTAATTCTCATCAGCCCAGGCCAATGTAGCTAGTGATGAGGGATACTGGGAAGTGCAATTCAACAAAACCTGGAAGAATAAAGTACTCCCATCTCTCTTATAGCCCTCTCCAGCAGACCTGCAGATGAGTAAGACGCCAAGCTTGCTGGGCTGGGCTGCTTATTCAAGAGTTCTGTTCTTTGCCTTTGTGAACTATGTGCCCTATAGAAAGCAGCAGCAGAATGAATTGTGCTATTTACTCTCTACAGCTGTGGCTAGTTCTGCTCCCTTAAGCTCTAGAAATGAATCTAACAATGTATGTTGTTCTTGAATGGCAATACATACTCAGCTTTATAATTTTTAATAGGTCAGTAATGCTAGACAGAGCTGAAAATCTTCTACATGACCACTATGGAGGAAAAGATTATTGGGATGTGAGTAAACTATTTTTGCTAAATAATTAGTTTTTTGTCCCCTAGGAATTTTATTGTACATTGCATTTTGTGTGGTGCAGATATTATTTCAGCCTTGTGAATTGTATTAAAAATACCTATTCTTAAAACACTACAAAAAAAAAGACTGGGCAAGGTAGGAGAATGCCTGTACCAGCTTTGCTCATGGGAATATATTGGTATTCAAGTTAATCATCATAATTGTGTTCTGTCAGTTCTGATCCATGGGGACTCTTTTCAGAGTTTTCTAGGTAGCAGATATCAAAAGTAATTTACCATTTTCTCCTTCTGGGGTCGCCCTGGAGCTGTGCAGCTTGCTCAAGGCCACACAGGCTTGCTCTACTTGCAGAAAGCCCAGTGGGGAATCAAACTCCCAACAATCAGACTCCAGAGCCAGCTACATAAACCACTCAGCTATACAGCCAGCATTTAAATTCATAGGATACTACTTAACATAAAGTGTTTTTCTCACCTTTTGCTTAAACAGAATGACAGGAATACATATCCCACAGTATTTTAAACCAGAACATGGGTTATTCTAAGAACCTTTTAAACTACTTTCATTGTTCATCCCACACATTAATTACTGCTATGCAGTTGTGCTGTTTGTTTTAGCTTTTGTCTGAATATGTTTTAAGTAGATCCATACCTCAAGCAAGACCCTTAAATGTTTTGGCTTTTAATAACATGAAGTTGGCTTGATAGCTTGTATCTAAAGTCACAGCCATAATCTATTAAGTATCAGTGTACTTAAATTGATTCTGCAACATTTAAGAACGCAGCGACATTTTAAAACCCAATTTAAAACATGGCTGTTTATTCAGGCCTTCCCTCCAGCCAACTCTTGATTTTTTCTTACTTTTCCTTTTTATCTTTACTGCTGTTCTTGTTTGATTATTATGTATTTGTCTATGTTTTATTATTTGATTTTATATTTGGAAGCCGCCTAGAGTGGTCCGGTGGGCCAGATAGGCGGGGTATAAATTAAATAAATAAATAAATAAATAAATAAAAAGATATTAAAATTCATTGACTTGGATCATAAATTTTTGCTCCATTCACAGAAAGTCTTTCCCATCTGTAGAAGGAAAGTTGTGCTCACGTAAGGGTTAATGAGCAGAAAAATATGTGATCTAAGCCAGTCTAAATACCATCTAAATCTATTTGAATTAATGTAATCCATTTGATTAAATTTGTTATTTTTTAAAAAGTCTCATAACTTCTAATAGCGGTAAACATTTTGCATTATGCCTCCTCTTCGACCATAAGTAAGCCTGTTGTGCATCTGACAATTCAGATGCACACTGTAACATGGTGAAAGGGTTTGAATGTGTGAAGGGCAATGCCATTAGGAAGCTAAACTCCATTATGGCTCTTGAGTCCTAGCAGTCAGAGCTGAGACACCAGACTAAGATACATCCTCCCTCTTAAAGAATAACAGCGGAAGGGATTGATAATGGGAGCAGAGAAACTCCTGATGGGCAGCTACTAGGCAGCAGGAGTAGTGGAAGGTAACACTAGCAGAGGATCCTTCACAGGTAAGGGCAATGACAGTCAAGCTAATTCCTGTTAGTATTGTGCAGAAGACAACCATAAAGCACATATAGATTATTGGACACCCACACAGAACCACATATATAACGTTCTGAGTTGTAGGTACTGAAATGATGCAACTTAATTTTACAAAAGCCTTCAGGATGTTCACACACCTTCGTTCCAATACTTAATGCACAAATTTGACAGTGTTCACATTTGTAGTATTGTGGTATTTGTGCTTCAAATTCAGAAGGGATAAGTATATTTTTTACATTCCTAGTTCTAGTGAATCCACCAGAGGATGCTGTTGACAACTTGATAAATCTTGAACTAAATTCCAGTGTCTATGTATAATCTGTCTGGTCTTGTATGCTATGGGGGAGAGTACTGTATGGCACAACTAGAATACTATACATTTTGTTAAGTAAAATCAAGGCATAAATACATATTTACTTGCAGTCTGAGTAGTGTGGAAATGAATGTTAAGAAAACACAAGGGTGTGAACGTCAGAAGCAAATAACTAGTTATACATGGAGTTTTCTATATTTGTACAGTAATCCAAGTGAATAAATATTTTTATGCAAGTGTCCAGGAGGAAATTGATCACACACCATGAACAGATGGCTGAAATGCAAAAGTAGGAAATAGAGGACCGAAATGCAAAAGTAGGAAATAAACTAGAACCAAACATTGTTGGAGAACATGGCATAGGAAGCAGGAGAACAACTCACAGAATTCTGTGAGAACAAGCCGTTTATTGTAAGTAGATGCTTCAGGCAACCAAAAATGACATCACAAAATGGCCAATATAGAATTTTTTTTATTTTTTATTTATTTATTTATACCCCGCCTATCTGGACTACCAGACCACTCTAGGCGGCTTCCAGTTTGTTAGCATCCTTCTTGAAGTGTGGTGTCCAGAACTGGAGACAAGCCTTGGCTAAATAGAGAAGTGCGCCTTTTATTAAAAGCCAGAAATGCTGCTTTTCATTCTGGTGATGAACTACAGTATAGAGAGGCCAGAGCTAAACTGAAAAGGGGCATTAGGGATGCCAAAGCTATGTACAGC